CCAACAGCTCCCTGTCCTTCTTGTGCTGGGACCCCCACCCTGGGTGCAGTGCTGCAGTTGCTGCAGTTGGTAGGAACGATCCCCTCCCTGTCCCACTGCAAGCCCTCTGCTGATGAAGGAATGCCCCGCAGGAGACGCTGGGGCCGTTTGGAGTCAGCAGCTTCTGCTTACAACATCAGGGCGGGCGGGGAGGGCTGGCAGCCGCCGTGCTGCTGTGCTGTGCTGCCGGACCTCCGTCTGCAGCCTGCGGGCGCCATGTGGAAGCACTTAGCGGCCGTGCTGAGCGTGCGAGGCCGACGTGCTGCGAGCGCGATGTGCTGCGCTCCGTGCGGGGCTGCGCTGCGCAGCCAGGAGCGCACGAGGGGCCGCCCCGGCTCGGGGTGAGCCGCTCCGTGTCCCTGGCTCACAGCAGCCTTGGCTCGGGATGAGCCGCTCCGTGTCCCTGGCTCACAGCAGCCTTGGCTCGGAGCGGCCCTGGCTCCTCTGTGTGCTTTGTGCTCCTCCCTGCGCTGAAATCCTTTGGGGTGCAGAAGGAGAACCGCGAGGGTGGGACGGCGCGGGACTTGGGTCGCTCTCCGAAAAGGGGCTGCTTTGCTCTGCGCGGAGGCAGTGATGGGCAGCAATGGACGTAATGGGGCAGTGATGGGCATAACGAGCAGTGATTGGCATGAGGAGGCAGTGATGGGCATAAGGAGGCAGCGATGGGCATAACAAGCAGTGATGGGCATAACGAGGCAGTGATGGGCATAACAAGCAGTGATGGGCATAACGAGGCAGTGATGGGCATGAGGAGGCAGTGATGGGCAGCAATGGACATAATGGGGCACTGATGGGCATAATGAAGCCGTGATGGGCATAACAAGGCAGTGAGGGGCATAACGAAACAGTGATGGGCAGGAGTGGACATAATGAAGCAGTGATGGACATAACAAGGCAGTGATGGGCATAATGACGCGGTGATGAGCATAACGAGGTGGTGAGGGGCATAATGAAGCAGTGATGGGCATAAGGAGGCAGTGATGGGCAGCAATGGGCATAAGGAGGCAGTGATGGGCACAATGAAGCAGTGGTGGGCAGTGATGGGCAGAAGGAGGCAGCAATGGGCATAATGAAGCAGTGATGGGCATAAGGAGGCAGTGATGGACATAATGAAGCAGCGATGGGCATAAGGAGGCAGTGATGGGCGTAAGGAGGCAGTGATGGGCAGCAATGGACATAATGAGGCAGTGATGGGCATAAGGAGGCAGTGATGAGTATAACAAGGCAGTGATGGGTATAACGAGGCAGTGAGGGGCATAAGGAGGCAGTGATGGGCAGCAATGGACATAATGAGGCAGTGATGAGCATAAGGAGGCAGTGAGGGGCATAACAAGGCAGTGATGGGCATAACGAGGAATGATGGACATAACAAGCAGTAATGGTCATAACGAGGCAGTGATGGGCAGCAATGGGCATAATGAAGCGGTGATGGGCATAACGAAGCAGTGATGGGCATAACGAGGTGGTGATGGGCAGCAATGGACGTAATGAGGCAGTGATGGGCAGAATGAGGCAGTGATGGGCATAACAAGCAGTGATGGGTAGCAGTGGACATAAGGAGGCAGTGATGGGCATAACAAGGCAGTGATGGGCGTAAGGAGGCAGTGATGGGCAGCAATGGACATAATGGGGCAGTGATGGGCACAATGAAGCAGTGTTGGGCATAAGGAGGCAGTGATGGGCATAACGAGGCAGTGATGGGCGTAAGGAGGCAGTGATGGGCAGCAGTGGACATAAGGAGGCAGTGATGGGCATAAGGAGGCAGTGATGGGCGTAAGGAGGCAGTGATGGGCAGCAATGGACATAATGAGGCAGTGATGGGCATAAGGAGGCAGTGATGGGCAGCAATTGACATAATGAGGCAGTGAAGGGCATAAGGAGGCAGCTATGGGCATAACGAGGCAGCGAAGGGCATAAGGAGGCAGTGAAGGGCATAACGAGGCAGCGATGGGCATAACGAAGCAGTGATGGGCATAACGAGGCAGTGATGGGCATAACGAGGCAGTGATGGGCACAATGAAGCAGTGATGGGCACAATGAAGCAGTGATGGGCATAACGAGGCAGTGATGGGCATAACAAGCAGTGATGGGCACAATGAAGCAGTGTTGGGCATAACGAGGCAGTGATGGGCACAATGAAGCAGTGATGGGCACAATGAAGCAGTGATGGGCATAACGAGGCAGTGTTGGGCATAATGAAACAATGATGGGCAGTGATGAGCACAAGGAAGCAGCGATGGGCAAAAAAAAGCTGTGATGGGCAGCAATGGACGTAACAAAGCGGTGATGGGCATAACGTCTGTGAGTCAGAAGGGACATTTGAGGGCTGTATTTCCAACTCCCTGCTGGCTCAGGCTGCTCCAGGGCTGCTTGCAGAGCCCAGCGATGGCACAACCCACCGCAGCACCGCCTGTGCCGTGGGATGCTCCCTTGCCCCCAACCTGGACCTCCCACGGCTCCGCCTGACGCCGTTCCCCCTTGCAGAGGAGCCCATCCCCTTTGGGTGCTGAGAGCCCTCCTCCAGAAGCTGCTCCCTACACTTTGTGCAATGAGAAGAGCTTTCCTACCAGAAGCCACACGGCAGTGCAGCAGTTCTGGGTGCTCCCCAGGCTGATGGCAGCAGCCCTGCCGGCGCCGTGTGCTTCCCATCGGGTTGGCACGCTGACACCAGTGCCATCCCAGCTCCTCACAGGGGAACATAGGGTGGCCTGGGTTGAAAAGGACCTCAAAGTTCATCAGTTCCAACCCCCTGCTGTGTGCAGGGCCGCCAACCACCAGACCAGGCAGCCCAGAGAACCCATAGAGTGCCATAAGGATCCATAGGGTGCCATAGGGACCCACAGGACACCATAGGGACCCATAGAATCATTGACTCATAGAATGGCCTGGGTTGAAAAGGAGCACAGTGACCATCAGTTCCAACCCCCTGCTGTGTGCAGAGTCACCAACCACCAGACCAGGCTGCCCAGAGAACCCAGGGGGTGCCATAAGGATCCATAGGGTGCCATAGGGATTCATAGGGTGCCATAGAGACCCATGGAATCATAGAATCCTAGAATGGCCTGGGTTGAAAAGAACAACAAAGACCATCAGTTCCAACCCCCTGCTGTGTGCAGGATTGCCAACCAGCAGCCCAGGCTGCCCAGAGAAACCATAGGGTGCCATAAGGATCCATAGGGTGCCATAAGGATCCATAGGGTGCCATAGGGATTCATAGGGTGCCATAGAGACCCATAGAATCACTGACTCATAGAATGGCCTGGGTTGAAAAGAACCAAATGACCATCAGTTCCAACCCCCTGCTGTGTGCAGGGCCGCCAACCACCAGACCAGGCTGCCCAGAGAACCCATAGGGTGCCATAAGGATCCATAGGGTGCCATAGGGACGCATGCAGCGCCACAGGGACTCATGGGGTGCCATAGGGACCCATAGAATCAGTGACTCATAGAATGGCCTGGGTTGAACAGGAGCACAATGACCATCAGTTCCAACCCCCTGCTGTGTGCAGGGTCACCAACCACCAGCCCAGGCTGCCCAGAGAACCCAGGGGATGCCATAAGGATCCATAGGGTGCCATAAGGATCCATAGGGTGCCATAGGGATTCATAGGGTGCCATAGAGACCCATGGAATCATAGAATCCTAGAATGGCCTGGGTTGAAAAGCACCACAATACCCATCAGTTCCAACCCCCTGCCGTGTGCAGGGTCACCAACCAGCAGCCCAGGCTGCCCAGAGAAACCATGGGGTGCCATTAGGATCCATAGGGTGCCATAGGGACCCACAGGGCGCCATAGGGACCCATAGAATCATTAACTCATAGAA